GGCCTCGCCGTGGCCGCGGGGCTCGGGGCGTCTGGAAGCCCCCCTTCCCAGGGCACCTGCTGCCCCCAAACCGGAACCGGCCCGGTGGCGGACCCGCTGCGCGCAGGGCGCCACGTGATCTTTTACTAACCTTGGGTAACCTTTCGGGATCACCCGGATGTCTCGGGATCACTTTCTGCAACCTCTGAAAGCCGTAATCTATGGTTGGTTCATTAAGGGCTGTAACAGGACACAGAAATGTAGGTCAGGTTAATTACTTTTATGTCATCCATTACTCGTTTATTGCACGCTTACAAATAAATGTGTAATTCTCCTTCTCTGACGCTCTTGAAGGCAAGCGCCCCCCAACGCCAGCTCTGTCTTAAGGAACGGACTTCCCCCTTTCTTTCGCACATAAAGGCGATGATTATCTCTAATCTATAATTAGACGGGAAGAAAGGCAAAGGGTTCCTCGACACGGTGCAGAAACGGTGGCGCGGTCAGAAAGTTGCAAGTCTCGGGGCCACGTACACCAATCCCCACTGTCATGATCACTGCCGGCATCACGCAGTGCCTTCCACCCTGGCCAGGGATTTATGGGAAACTGGCAATTATGACATATGTCCAGCCATTGCTAGCTTCAGATTTATCCCTGTGGTCCTTTTCTGTCTAGCATATTGCCTGAGCACAAACTGGGCAGGAGGCGCACTTACTCTCGCAAAGCTTTAATAATCTGTGAATGGCTGACTACAAACTGATGTAGAGCACTATCATTCCACCAGCCTCACGGAATTGCCGGCCACAAATAGTAATTAATCTTTTTATCCCTCAAATTGTAATTTTGACTATGAACTGTGCGCGGCCATAAATCAGCGGCACACGCGCTGTGTGTACAGTGCATGAATCACGGCCGGGACTCCGTCCGACTGCACACTCCGTGTTTAACAAGCTTTATAAGGAGCCATTGGGCTTTATTATGGCTCTGCCTGACTCCAACAAAAACTGAGCCCGGAGGCCCGGGGACGCGAGTTAAGATGAAAATACTTATTAGAGTGCATTACTTCTTGATGTAGATATCGTTTTCCGCGGAGTAACGCCACGGTGCATGGCACGACATAAATCAGGGGGTTTTCTGAGCCTAATAGGACCTGCCGCCATCTATTCATTACGTAGCCGCAATTTGGGCCATCACTCATTAGCACGTAATTTGATGATTAACACCACCCAACTCAGCGGGTCTGCACGGCGCGGGGAACACAAAGGCGCCGGCTTCGAGGAACAAGGTTAGAGGCTGCCTTTGAAAGCGTTCTCCGAAATAACCGGTCACCGTTTTCCTCGAGCGCCGGCGTCAGCACCCACGGTGGGTCACGCGCACGGACGCTCTGATGATGCGCCCGTAAGCCGAGGGCCACAATATGATCTGACATCCCCTCATGCATCCCGGAGACAAAGGTCCACGCAGGAATGTGAAGTAAGACATTTTCTTGTTAATAAAGCATTGATCCGACGTATTGATTTTACATGACATGGCTTTTGCTGCGATTTCGCCCTCTTTTTTCTTTGCAAATAGTAAAGCTCTTCAGAACGCCTCCGCGTGTGTGACGCGGCCGTCCAACTCTCTGTGATGTAAATTCCGTATGTGTAAAACCACTTCATAATCAAACCATTAATCATCAGAAGCTGTCAGCGTTGACTTGGGGACAATTTGTCATATCTCTGCCTGCCCAGGACGAGGGCGTCCGGCAAAAGTTGTGGCGCGGCCGGCCGGGCGGCTGGGCCTCACCGAGCCACCCGGGCCAAAGAGGATTAGATGAAGTATTACATTGCTTGATTAGGGAACAAAAAGGGTGGCCCACTGTGCATTTCTAACGTGTCCGGTGTCTCCTCTCTCCCAGCTAATCGCCATGACTGTTTGACTTAATGAATCGGCCTGATGAAAGGTGATCAGAAAAGATAGATGGGCGGCCACTATTGATTTCATGCAAATGCCCCTGACAGGTGATGGACGCTTTAATGCAAGCTTTCAGAAGCTTTATGACTTGTAATAACCATACACTCTCATTCTGGGAGAGACATTTTCCAATGTTTCAGTTGAATTGATATTCTCCTTCCAGGACTGAAAATATTTTAACGCGGCATAAATACGAGGGTACCTTTCACCGCCGGCCCCCCCCCCCCCCACTTCAGCCCAGAGAGCGCTTGTGTCCCAAGTGCGCTGCCAACAACGAGCTCGGCGCTCCGCCGAATGTTCGGGAGATGATGTGTAACTGTGCCACGGGAGGTCCCCGCCACGCGGGACGCCACAGAGGGCGGTGGGTGGGGGCCGCCGGCGCGGCCCGAGATGCCACCGGGCGCCCCGTCGCCTGGAAGCCCAACGAATTCACGTGGAAGCATCAGAAAAGCCTGCCTTTGCCTTTAAACTGCAGGAGAAGGGACACGCGCTCTGGGTGCTGGGGGGGAGGGGGGTACCCAATCGGCCTCGGTGCCCCCAAGGGCAGCGGCCAGCAGCGGGCCCGACCGGCGGCCTTCCGAGTGCCGAACCGCGCGCAGCCCGTCCCGCGGCGCCTGGCGGGACCGGGAGCCGCTCGGACCTCGCTGGCAAACCTGCCACGGGAGGGGAAAGCAGAAGACCGAAGGCGCACATCTAATAAATCCTCGGCGCGCCGAGTTTACAAGGCGAGGGCCCAGCCGAGCCAGGGCGAGGCTCTGGCACGTCCAGTCACAGAGCACCGAGCCAGGCCAATCAATACCACTTTCCTGTTTTAGAACTGGGTAATTATGAGGGGGAGAGATTGCCTGACCTTTCACCTGCACTGCATTACTTTGCTGATATTAAGATAAATTGCCTGATTTTGGGTAAACATATGCTGCAATTCAAACTGTCAGCACTGGTTTGCTCAGGGATAATTTGTATTGATCTCCCAGCTTCTTCCCAATTTTGCTTACTGACCTCGCGGATAATTAGAGAAGGAGCCTTGGGTGAGCTCGAGTCGGGGACGAAGAAGAAATATGAAGAAGAATAAAGCAAATTTGTTTTATGTTAATATTTGTAGGGTCCTCCTACCGCCCTCACATCTGTCAGCATCAGGAGAGCCGTAAATTAATGCACTTGGTTCCTGAGCAATTTATTCCAAGGAATTATTTAGCAGCATGCTTAGTCTCCGAACATGTGTCACTGGGTTAAATTAATTTAAACTCTGCCTTAAACACAACAGAAACAAATGTTATTTTCTGCTGAAGGGGAAAAAAACAAGACATTTCTCAAAACACATTATAAGCTTCCAACTTGCTGCACGGATTCGCACATATCTGCGACCGAGAGGGTGAGTTTTATAATAAGCCGCCCCCCCCCCCCCCCCGCCGAAGTAATTAGTGCCCATTATTTGTTCTGAATTCAAATCTTGCTAAGACGGGCCGCCACGTATGAAAGAGATGGGTGTGTGCGCAAAATTATATCATTTAAGATATGTCAGATTATAAGGCTGTTGTATCAAAAGTCATAAAACAAATCTCCCTTGTGAAATATCTCTTTATTAACCGTGCCATAAGATATTAACATTCCTCATTTAGTGGAGGGCCTTTTATCTGTTTCAAATACATTATTCGTCCTTTTAGAGATAAACTGTATTAATATCCATTTGAGTAGGCTACCGCGGCCTAATGCATAGTAATTTTTGTTGGAGAGCTTTTATTTTAGAATAAGAAAATTACACAGCAATAAAACCTGAATGAATCAGAAGCTAGAATAGCCGGGAATCACATTCCATGCCAAATGGGGCGAGCCATCAGGCCGCCTGTGAAAAGCCAGATATCCGGCTATCACATGCAGGCCAGCATCCAGCGCGGGTCATACAAATAGAGGCTGACACGGCCACATAGAGTCAGTGATTCCTCCACACCGGAATAGCCTACAGCTCGGGACGGATACATATTTAAATATATTTGAGTGTACTGGAGTTAATCTCGTTACTTTACATGCATTAAAGTCATAACAGAAGAGGCATTCTAAATATTTAAGTCATGCCCGTGTACTGGGGGATTAATCATCGCGCAATTGATAAAATTTTAACAGTCTGTGATGTCAGTTCAAGTTGGGATTGCCGGAGCTAATGTGGCAGCAGAAAATGGCATCGGGCTCTGAGCTCCAGCTGTGGCCAGCGCAGCTCCCGTCGGCCCTGCTGCAATTAGAAACGTACCAATGGGCAAGCGTCCGTGGAATTTTCTTTCTTGTGACATACATAGTTTTAGTTTTCATTCTGACGGCTTAAGCTTCTTTGTCAGCCAGCCCTGCCCTGAGGTCTGTGTTAATCTCTACGACCCCAAAATGTGTATGGTTATTTTATTAGGCTCCAATAGCAAAGTCCATTAAGGTGTAAACCCAATTCAGTTAAGCAAGGGGGTGTGTCCGGGACCTCCGGGTTGACAACACACACACACACACACACACACAC